TTAAAATGTTTGATTCTTAAACTCATAAAATGGTTTGATGATAAAAAGATTTACTTGCTATGAGCCCTCTCTATATATCATCTAAGTCTCAAAACAGTATAAACTAAGTCATTTATACATCTGCTTCTGCAAATCATAATTCAATATCTGCTACTCCCAACTCAAACAAATATGACGACCAAAGAAAGTAATATATTGCATACGGCTATAAAGCAGACCATAATTGTGACCCCAAAATGTAATCCCATAGCAACTGCAAAAGCTTAGGCTATTAAGGCCCAATGATTTGAATCAAGTAAAAGCTATGAAGGTCGTATTTGGGTAGTTCGGAATTTCTTCAATTCTATGACTGTCTCACTGTTTCTTCCCTTTCTTAAAAGGAGTAAACTAACTTTTTCTTACCCAAATAATAGCTTAATGACATTTTTTCACCCACAAACTTTTAAAATACCACTTTATTATTCAAATTTATATTTTGTTTCAAATTTCAGCATCGTTGTAGCTCTACACTACCACCATTATCTTTTTCAATTATCACTCACCAAAACCCCTCAAACCTTACTCGTACTGACCCCGCCAATTGTTGATTAGGGTTTACGCAACCGTCTCTCCCAAGTTAAATTCCAATCAAGCTCAACCACAAAAATTCAATCTTCTACCACCAAAAGATTCATCGGTTTCCCCTCTTCAAAAACCCCAACAGTCTAGACCGAGTTTACTCTTTGTTCTCCATTATTTGGGTGAGAAAAAGCCATTAACTGCAGTTTAAAATTAGCATATTCAGCACTTTTGGTTCAAATATTAAAGAAAGTTTCTCAAAAGTAATAAATCATACGAGTAAATGCAGTGAGGACTGAAAAAAAAAATACTGTACTTAAGGTCACCAATTCAGGTGTCCATATGCCCATTAACATAGCTTTCCAAGTTGTGAACCAAATATCAATAAGATAAATGGCTTAGACCACAACAGTAATAGATGAAAATGTGAGAGTCATACATTTGGTCATAAACTTATCCTTCCATAAGCCACTGCATTGGCTTTCTAATCTCCTCCACCCAATACAATATCCATATTACTCTCCCTATCAAAAACCACCAAAAAATCTGTACCTTTTCTTTTCTTTTCTCTTCTCACTCACTCCTTCATCAACCTACTTACTACCTACCATCTCCATTACATTTTTTTCCTCTCTTTTTCTTTTCTTCTTTCCCATTCAATTATCATGACTACTGCAGTTAGTGCTGCAGTTTCTCTTCCATCTTCCAAGTCTACTTCTCTTCCAACTAGAACCTCTGCTATCTCATCTGAAAGAATCACCTTCAAGAAGGTAAAAATTTATCTGCATGTATATGATTTTAATTCTTTAGCAGTATGTTTCATTGCTGATTTTTTAGTTGATAACCTGGGGCTGTGTCTTTTTTTTTTTTCAGGTTCCATTCTACTACAGAGATGCTTCTACAGGAGGGAGAGTGGTGTCAGTCAGAGCCCAAGTCACCACCGAGGCTCCTGCTAAGGTTAAGAAAGAATCTAAGAAAGATGAAGAAGGTGTCGTTGTTAACAAGTTCAAACCTAAGAACCCTTACATTGGCAGATGCCTTCTAAACACTAAGATCACTGGTGATGATGCTCCTGGAGAAACCTGGCACATGGTCTTCAGCACTGAAGGTATCTTTTTTCTTAATACACCACTTCAAACTATAAGTTATCATTGTTATATGTGAAAATTTGATCTTGATTGATTAATATAAGAAAAAAGTTATTGATTTTGAGCTGAATGGATGCTTTAGGAGAGGTCCCTTATAGAGAAGGGCAATCCATTGGGGTGATTGCTGATGGTGTTGACAAGAATGGGAAGCCTCACAAGCTGAGATTATACTCAATTGCTAGCAGTGCTCTTGGTGACTTTGGAGACTCCAAAACTGTGAGCTTCAAATCGACAATTCTTATTTTCCGTGACATATAAAATTTCCAATTGCATGCATAAGTTACCAAAATATGCTCTTAAACTAGCACCACAATTGCAAATCCATCTGCTGTGTTGAAATTTTCGTTTATTGGTTTGATCTGATTGCCGTCATGCAGGTTTCTCTCTGTGTGAAACGTCTTGTGTACACCAATGAGAACGGAGAGATTGTTAAAGGAGTCTGCTCGAATTTCTTATGTAAGCATGCGGAGCATTTTGTTCTATGAACTTCTTATATAGCTTTAAAATACAATATGAATCAACCTCTCTCTTCATGGTTTTAACCTGGTGGCTCAAAATGTGTTGTATTAGGTGACTTAAAGCCTGGGGCTGAAGTTCAGATTACTGGACCTGTGGGGAAAGAAATGCTTATGCCAAAGGACCCGAATGCCACAATCATCATGGTACTTAATCCTGCTCTTTCCATACTAATTTTTGGTCATGATTTCACTACATTGTTTTTCACAGAATTTTTTGTATTGCAGCTTGCAACTGGAACTGGAATTGCTCCTTTCCGATCATTTTTGTGGAAAATGTTCTTTGAGAAGCATGAAAACTACAAGGTAAAATAAAACTAGTCAACTTCTGTAAAATTTCCTCAGAGGCACTATTATTGCAGGGTAATTTAGCTGTCATAGAAACATCACTCTCTTATGAGTGACTGAGATTTTTATTTGCTCTGTAGTTCAATGGTTTGGCATGGCTGTTCTTGGGTGTCCCCACTGGTAGCTCCCTGCTCTATAAGGAGGTGAACCACAATACTTTTCCTCAATTGATCAGATGTTTAATTTGCTCTGTTTTTGAACTTGAATCTGATTGATGTTTACACTCACATTTTATCACGTTGAATGGAACAGGAATTTGAGAAGATGAAGGAGAAGGCCCCCGATAACTTTCGGCTTGACTTTGCTGTGAGCAGAGAGCAAAAGAACGAGAAAGGAGAGAAGATGTACATTCAAACTCGAATGGCTCAATATGCAGAAGAGCTCTGGGAATTACTGAAGAAAGATAACACTTATGTGTATATGTGTGGGTTGAAGGGCATGGAGAAAGGAATTGATGACATAATGGTATCACTGGCTGCTAGAGATGGTAAGAAACACATCATATTACTCAGATTCTTGCTGAAGGATTTCATTTTATAATATCTCTGATGTTTCATTTGCTGTATTTTTCAGGCATTGATTGGATTGAGTACAAAAGGCAATTGAAGAAAGCTGAGCAATGGAATGTGGAAGTCTACTAAATGCTTTAATTACTTGTACAAATCACCCCCTTTTTCCCCTTTTTTTTTTCAAGCTACCATGAATCTCTATAATGATTTCCTCTTCATTGTGTAGATAGTTAATGTCTATTATTTTCTCCATTTTCCCCCTTCTGTTGATGAAGCAGTGTATCTTCCATTATCTCTAAAGAATTTTCATGAGTTGAGGGAACGTCATGTACCATGCAATATATTGCAGCAGAATACAAAATGCTTCTTATGAGTTCTCTTTGTATTTTCTCATAATCATAATGTTAGAGTCCTACAGCGATTAGACATGCTCAAACCCATTGATTTATAAGAAAGGATAATCATTTCATTCAATAAGGCTTTATTGGGTGAGGAGTCAGACTCACCTTAAATTCTATCACATAATAATCTGCCATTGAAGAATCTAAATGCATACTTATACAAACTAATTAATGATACCATGACGTAGCGAGTAGCGTGATAAAACAAGGCTAGCACTCGACTATGCCTTTAGAACTGATAACACAAGTCTCAATCCAGAAACTTAAAGCTTAAAATCGAAAAGTCAAATCTGAATAATTTATTGAATTCTCTCCAAAACGAAAAATAAGTTCATATAGGGTGACAACCAACCCTAATAAGTCTCCTACTAACAACAAGAAACAAAAACTAAATCAATTAAAACAAGAAAATCCGAAAAAAAGAAGAAGGAAAAAACGATCAATTAACTAAAACAGCCTCCAAACATGCCAAAACAGTGGATTTTGACCTCGAAAATGAACTCCAATCTAGCAAAGCGGTTCCCACGTCGACGGGCTCAAAATAAGCTTTCCAACGGTATCTTATAGGCCTCGTAGCTCTTCCTGAATAAAAAATTATGGTCATTTGAATGAGGCATGCTCATTTAAGTCCTTTGGGCTTTCACACGGACTTTTGATATTAAGTCCGCTCCATGTATTCATCCGCTAGATGTTCTACGTCATACCATGTCTAAAATGGGGGTCAAAATAATTTTTCAACTAGCTACAAATGGGGATCAACGTTGTAACGATGAGTTTGCAGCAATAATCTTAAAATAACAAGGAACAAGAAAAGATTTTTAAACTATTATGTTGTGTTATTGAGTATATTGACGAACCGAGTTACAAAGAGTTATTTGAACGAGTTTTTTCTCTTGAATTATCTCTTTTCTTAGTCTCTAGCTCAAATTCTAATTAGGTTTATATAGTACCTGTTACAAGATTGAATTGGAAATAAATTCAAAGCAAAATCTTTAGCTTTGATAGTGGAATCCATATCGAAAGATATCTCCAAGCCAAAAGAGAAATTATCCGATCCAGATTAATCACACAACATTGTCCATCAAACTCTCATTAAAAATAAAACTCAATCAAAAACCAGCGAGATGGTAGTTTGTTCTGCCTTTAACAATCGTTTAATCTTTAAAGCTGGAATCTGAAGATGGCCAGTTGGGCTAGGTGGATGAACATAATTGTCTGGTGGATGAGCACTGGGCCGTCGTCAAGCTCTTCGTCAGCCCAATCATTTACGGATTGAGTAACCATCAAACCCATTGAGTTAGTAATGAATTGTGAGAAAATCTGATGCTGCACAGAAAAAAAATAAAAATCAGAAGGTATAGAACAGAAAAAGTGGAAGTGGGCAAAACACAAAAGTAAAGAAAGGATTGAAGAGGACCCGGTTCCAAATCAAAGGCTGAAAATTAACAATAAAAAAGAGATATTCGGATTAAAGCCAACGCTATGTTGAAAAGCATAAAAATAGGGGTCCACGGTTTCTTATCAAAGTCCGTAAAGCAGGAAATCATAGGACGCGTAAATACCGCGAATGCCAAGGAGAGGTTCGGAGTTGTATAAAGAAGAAGGAATCCTCAAACTTGTAAGCCTGCATTTTCACTAGGGTTTCTATATTTTTTTCCCCCTTTTATATTAGATCTCGATCATATCAATGGCTCAACTCACCCGATCAACCGGCAAAGTCACCTGGTTCGATAACATCAGGGGCTATGGTTTCATCAAGCCTGATGATGGGGGTGCAGATCTCTTTGTCCATCACAAATCCATCAAATCCGACGGTTACCGTACTCTCCGCGACAACCAGCCCGTTGAATTCGATGTTCAGCTTGAACCCGACGGTAAGTACCAAGCCCTTGACGTCACTGCTCTGGGTAGGGGAGCAGTTCGCTCTCCTAGGAAAGACAATGGGTACAGCCGCGGCGGACGTGGTGGTGGATTTGGCGGAAGCTGGAAAGGTTCCAACGATAACAGGAGAAATAATGTGTACGCGTCTGGTGGTGGTGGGGTGGTCTGTTATAACTGCGATGGTGTAGGACACTTGGCGAGGGAGTGTACTAGTAACAAAAGAAGCGGTAACTATACTGGCGGTGGTTGCTATAACTGTGGTGATCCCGAGCATTTTGCCAGAGATTGTCCACTTCCACTTAATAATGGTGGTGGTGGTGGTGGAAGTGGAAGTGGGTGTTTCAAGTGTGGTGATTATGGGCACTTAGCGAGGGATTGTATAAACAGGGGAAGCAGCGGTGGCAGTGGCCGTTGCTATAACTGTGGAAAGTCAGGGCACTTGGCCAGGGACTGTACTGGGGGAAGCGGTCGCCGCGGAGCTGGTGGTGGTGGTGGTGGTGGTGGTGGTGGTACGTGCTTTAACTGCGGGAATCCAGGGCACTTTGCCAGGGAATGCACAAAGGTTTAATGATAGTTTTTGATTGATTAATTGATGAAGGAAAAAGAAAAAGAGAAATAGTAGTAAATATTGTTTATTATTCTAATCAGTATTTCCCTTTTTCTTAATTAACAGTTGGTTTAATATTTGGGTACTTGTATTAGGTGGAGATTGAGTATATATAGGAAGAGGTGATTGGATCCACCGGTTACGTGAAGAAAAAATCTTCCAGTTTTGATACAAATGGCATCTGGTTCGGATATGTTTTATATTGATAATTTTCTAATTAGGCAGTTGCTATCTTTAATGGTGAATCTGTGTTTTGGTTATATATATTAGTTCATGTGAGATTGGATTGTTCTATTGTTGTTTGCTTCAATCCAGGCAAATGAGTGATATAATTTGGTACCCGAATTCACATAAGTGAATAAAGGTTTCTAACCAGGGTTTTTAGGGTTTAGAGTCGAATTAACTGATACACTAAACAACAGCCAGTATGCAAAAGTATCTGGGTGTGAAGGAATGTGTTGAAGCAGTCTCCTGTTCCACCACCATTGAAGCTTGAGTGATTTTTGATTTGGAAATTGTTAACAAATGTTAAGTTCTAGGTAAAGTATTATGATGGATTTTGTTGTATTGATCTTCTTTATAATTAACTCTGGACTTTCACTTTTCCCTTCTAAATGAGGATCCTTCCCAATTCTTCTCCCTTCTTATGCTCCACATTGGTGTTTACTATTTCTTAACTTTCTTTCAAATGCTAGACGACTGAAACCTAACAGTAACTAAGAATTTATTTGAAGCCAGATCAAATGGAACTTCATTACTGCCTTTAGTTTAAACTCTGTTTTTACTTGCCCAGCGCTTAATGCATTGAATTGTGCAGTTTGAGAGGGGGAGATATATTTATCTCCAATCGGGATCATGGATCTTCTATTATATCACCATTCTTTATTGTTAACCATATAATCAAATTCTTGTGTCAATGTTCAGTTTTCTCATCAACTAAGCCTGGATTTTTTTATGTAAAAAGTAGGAGTTAACCTTTTATTTCCAATCATTTATCAGTACCAGCTTTTACTTTGAGCTTTTTTTCTTTTAATTATAAAAAGCAGGCCTTAATTTTGGGCTTTTGGAATGTTGGATTCAAATTGGAAAGCCCTGCAGACGTCTAATCGTAGCTAACAGCTAGCAGCCCAGGTACTGAATCACTACAAGCAGTCATTTCGGGCCACTGAATTTACTTTTTCTTCATTTGGGTGATGAAATTAATTGATCTTAATTTGACCTATTAAATGGGGTAAATGATGATAGGGGGTGGAAGCTGGTGATTCACCAACTATAATAATGGAACTCCTTTTTTTTCATCTAAAAGTCTTGGACAACATAAGCCCAGTCTAAAATTGTATCAATCTTTAATTTATAAGCTGGGGTTGGGATGTTTTCACCAACTTACTCTTAAATGGGTGATCACAATTACATTTGTTAATTACCAACTTACTCTTAAATTATTACCCATTAGTTTACAGCCTACTGATATTTCTTTTCGTTTCTTCAGTTGCTAAAAACTAAATGATGTTTTAAATAGGTGGTAGTTTGGGAAATTCACCAACTGCAATCATCAATTTATCACCCTTTTCTTCCTCCCTTTCTTATTTTCTCTATACCAAAACCTTCACCAATTTTACAACTAGATAAATTTGTTGTTCAAAAAGTTTACAATGTTTTTCAGTCTGAAGATTCTCTGAATGATCTGCTTCAAAGTTCGGCAAACAGATATAACATTCAAAGCTTTGAAGTTAATCTGTTTATTGAATTTTTTTTTTATTTTGTTCTTGTTTGTTCAGTGATTGAAGTTCAAAACTTGATGATAATTTTGAGTTGTAATTACAGAGACTGATTCCGAGAGGTTTGTGAATCGATTGAGAAAGCATTCATCAAATGATGTCATAAGACTAGTGAAGCATATTGTTAGGTTACCAAAATATTTAAAAGAAAATAAAAAAATAAAATAAAATAAATTGAATTTACCGTTTTGTCTAGAGCTGGTCAAGGACCAGTCCCAAGCAAGCCCAGGCCCAGGCCTGTTTGGGACTGGTCCTTTTGGGATTGGTCCCAAATGGGACCAGTTGCTCATGGGCTTGGGACCGACCCCAGGCCCATGAGCAATTTTAGGACCCAGACTGGTCCTATGGGCCTGAAATATTTCTTGTTCCTCCCTGATATTTTTTTATATTTTGGGGTAAAACGAAATTTTTAGGGGGTTTTTAGTATTTTTTAGGGGTAAAATTTATAAACTTTTCAAGGCTTAGAATTCTTTTTTTTTTTTTTTTAAATTTTGTAAAATTGTCTTTTAGCTCTTATAATTTATGTTGATTTCAAAATTTATAGAGGGTTTTATGTAATTGTACAAGGAGCTAAAACAAAAATATTTAAAAAAATTTGGGCTCTGGCCTTGGAAGAGGGCCCAATGGAGGGATCGGTCTTAGTAAAGGGACCTGGCTCTCCTCCTTAGGCCTGGTCCCGTTTTGAGACCAAGCCCCCTAGAACCGAGTTTTTGGGTTGGGTTTTTGGACCTAATCCAAAATGTCCACCTCTAGTTTTGTCCTCTTGTAGTTGAAATTATCGGAGAAGTTGGATTGACGGGTGGCACTATGTCATTTTGAAACTTTTCAGGGGTTTGGAACTTGTCGTTCGCCCTTTTACTGCAAATATGAAGTTTAAAGTAGAAGTGCAGGATAAATATTTTGATTACAATAATTTCCCTCACTTAAAAATGGGGAGTACATAGAAAATCAGTAGGGGCTAAAAATCAATCCCTATCACTTATAGGGTCAACTTAAATCGAACTCTTAGGATTGGGGTTTGTAGCCCCTGATAAAACCTGCCGTTAACTTTTGGCTTATCAAAGTTATCTACCAAGTAACCCCTAGAGTTCTGAGAGGGCGTTGTCTTTTTTGATATGCTACAAAAACTTTACTCTGTTCATGCAATTTTGTTACTTGTCAAATTGCTTACTTGTGTAGTTGAAATGCCGTTTTTATACCATATTGACTACGACTTAACAACTAGATAGATAAAGTAACTTAAAGAACTACAGTAAGGAGCCTTTTCATTCCTTTCAAGGGACAAGGGATTGTCAGGCCTTTGGTTATTTGTTTTTAGAGTAAATGACATATTCCCACCCAAGGTTTGACGAAATCTCAAGTTAGTACTATAAGTTCTATTTATTCCAGATTCTCACCTATAAAGTAACAATGTTATGAATTTTTAGGGTTTAGAGTGTGTAATTACCATAATGCCCTTAACCCTAAATTAATAAATTATGTTTTAACCCCTAAATTAGTAGAATTATAACTTATCATTTTATTTTCAAATTATATCAAAAACACCCTCGGTCACTACACACCCTCGTCAGAAACAGCCTGATCTAGGCTGTTTCCGACGACGTCAAACCTCCTGGTCACCTCCATCGCCTTCACCCTAGTCCGTCGTCCAAAACCCCTTTGCTTTCGGACTCATTTGCCCCTCTAATCGCCGGCGCCGTTAGGTTTAGGGTTTTGGTGTTCTTCATCGGATTCCGACGGCGAAAATCCAATTGGACACCATCAATGCAACCACCGTCTCCAAATCTATAAAACCCCTATGTCCCCAACAACCGTTTCGTAGTCATTCGTCGGTCGAGAGTTCGTGTTCATCGGCTGTTTTTCGATGAAGTGGTGGACGGCAAACGGTGAGCTGCCGTGGCTGGAAAGGTTAGGGGTTTTGTAGGGAAGGATGCGAGGAGTCAAATGGTGATGACAAATGTGATTTTGGGTGGAAGAATCGCCGGAAAAAGAGCAAAAAAATCGAGAACGTCGGCTGATAATGTGCGTCGGAGGACTGTTACAGGCGATGGTCTGCTAACGTGCATCGCCGATGTAAAATGACCAATTTATCTCTTTACCGTTACATCAAACGTTTTTTCGTCACTTTAAGGGTGGGAATCTGGAATAAATGGAACCTATGGTACTAACTTGAGATTTTATCAAACCTTGGGTGGGAATATGTCGTTTACTCTTTGTTTTTACCATATTCATTCTCAATTAGCACCAGAGGGCAGTGGCAACTGGCAACTGGCATCCCACTCCAAGCCAATACGATGCCCTATAACTCAAATATTAAATAAAAGAAGCTGCAACCTGCTGGAATATTGAAGCCAAAGATATCGAACTAAAGCAATAAGACATATTCTCTGTTACAAAGGCTTGACTTTTTTCTTCTCTACCTTATCTCATAAATGTCCCAGCACTTGTCCCTATCTAGTTTCTAATAATCATCCATATGTGAATCTGGAGCCGTCCCTTGGGGGATTTAAATTCAGAGCATACTGAATCCCAATGCGTCATATCCTTTTGCAGAACACCAAAAGCCTATTTTAATGTTACCTTCAATTATTCATATTATATGGTTTTTATAGTCTGCCATTGTTGCGACTTGCGAGATTATCTTTCCCTTCTCCTAAGAAACTTAAGAAGAGTACACTACATACATACACGGTCAAGCTCATACGAGGGGTCATGTCTAATTCTTTATCCGTTGTATAAACACTCAATTAAACTAGACTTAATTATGATATTATGATAGGATTTGAGGTGGGTCTGATTTTTTACCTAATAAACCTTATTAAATGTGAGAATTACCCTCTTTTACAAACCTATAGGTTTGAACGTGTCTAACCAGTGTGAGACTTTAATAACAATTGCTAGACCTAAACGAGGCGGTCTTTGTCTCCGTGACTGTGTTTGCATGTGGCCAACATGGGCGGTGGGTCCAAATCGACAAATCCTATAAATTAATGGCCCACCCCACCATACTTGCTATACGTTTCCGCATCCTCACTTCTCCACTCTTTAAATACTAATGTTTCAAATTACAAGAATCTATAGCTCTCTGCCTCTCTCCAAAACGTAATCGACATTAACAAAAACAGAGAGCAACAAGAATCCAACTCCTTCCTCATCTGCTAATACTCAAATGGCACGCATACAGTTTTCGATCATCTTATTTGCTCTATATCTTCTCCAGCTACTTTCAGGTACTACTAGAAGCATCATTAATTTTATTCGTTATATAGTGTTGCTGGTTATTGAGTAATTTTAATTGATGTATAGGCACATTATCAGCAACGTTTACAATAACAAACAAGTGCAGCTACACAGTCTGGCCAGGGATACTTTCTGGAGCTGGAACTGCACAACTTTCCACCACAGGCTTTTCTCTGGAATCAGGCCAGTCAACTTCAATCTCGGTGCCTACTTCTTGGTCAGGACGTTTATGGGGTCGCACTTTCTGCACCCAAGACTCCACAACTAACAAATTCACTTGCCTAACCGGTGACTGTGGCTCTGGCACTCCAGAATGCTCTGGAAGTGGAGCAGTCCCTCCTGCCACCCTGGCTGAATTCACTCTAAACGGTGCAGGCGGGCTCGATTTTTATGACGTTAGTCTTGTTGACGGCTATAACCTTCCCATGCTGGTTACACCCCAAGGTGGAAGTGGAGGGAACTGTACTATTACTGGATGTGTTGTGGACTTGAACAATGGATGTCCGACGGAGCTTAAGGTTACTGAAACGGCGAATGGCGAGGACGTGGCCTGTAAAAGCGCATGTGAAGCATTTGGTGATCCTCAATATTGCTGTAGTGGAGCATATGCAACACCAGATACATGCAAGCCAAGTTCTTACTCCATGTTTTTCAAAACTGCGTGTCCTACAGCTTACAGCTATGCCTACGATGATGGAACAAGTACCTTCACTTGTGCCGCCGCCGATTATGCTATCACTTTCTGTCCTAGTCCAAGCACAAGGTAATTCATTTTCCAATCTAAATCCGCACGATTTTTGTTTACAGATTATAGTTTAGGATGTTACAAATCAATTTTGTTTGAAATTTTAATTTCACTAAGTAAGCAAAACGTGGCAAAATACAACTGTGAGGGTGTGACAGGTTGGTGGCAAGAGTTGACAAACTGTAGCCAACCAAGATTTTTTCTTATTGGGTCGGTTGGGGTTGGGGGTTTTATAAATGGGGCACATGTTCTAGTCCTTCGTTCTATAATATTGCTTCCCACGTTTCATTTTTTAAAAAGTATTTTTCATGATGTGTTTAAATAAAACGTTTATAAAATCAAGCACCGTCCTTGCTAATGTCTCCGGGTGATTTTGACATGTGGGTGCAGTGTCAAGTCCGCCAATGGCCAATTCCCGACGGCGGCTAATGTATCAGCCGGCTCTCGACATTCAACGCCTACTTCCATTGGTGCTATCATCGTAATTTCAGCTACAATTTGGAAGTTGTTGTGGCAACTCATGTAACTTGCCAACCAACTAGCTACTCTAAACCACCATTAGGTGGTTCAGTGATCAACTAGAATTTTTGGATGTATTATTCGAGAAGTCTTGACATTAATCTACTTAGATTGCTAATAGGGAAGACCATTGAGGGGATTTACTCGGCTATCAACTTCTAAGTTTCAAAAGATTAGTTGAAGTATATGGAAGCTTGTCTGAACACATCTCATTACCTTTAAAAAAAAAAAAAAAAAAAAAAAAAAATGTCACCTTCGGGAACTGTTTTGCTTCCCTTTTTGACTTTTTTGGGCTTGGGATTTTTGCTCTTTCAGCGTTAGGCTAACGTCTTAGGTCCACTGAGTGGGTCCTGCAGGGTTTCGAGATGGTGCAAGCAGCTTGCCTCAAAACTTGGACGGCAAAAATAAGGCCCAAATGGTCAACTTGCTTGGACACTAGCCTGCAACACCATTCTGGGAATTCTTTAATCGAATTTCAGGTGAGAGACGTAGGAAGAAACAAATGAAACATGCATACATACATCAGCAGTCACGTTGCTTGATTTGAAGACACAAACTATGACGCGGCGCTGGCGTATTGAAGTTTGTTTTTTTAAATATTTGATTTTCTTATTTCAAATTTCCAATACTAGAGAAGTAGTGGTGGAGGTGATTATTAATTATGTGTAAGGTTTAGCAACCGTCCGCCTAGTATTGCCAATCGAGAAGAGATGATGAGTTCATATATGTATTCTTTTCTCTTGTATATATTCCTAGTGGCATTTTGCTTGGTGACAGTTGCAAAGTTTCTTTATTATTTACATATGGTGGATGCCCTATCTTTCTCGTACGAGTTTTTTTATATAATTCTTTAATGGAAAGAACTGAATTGAGTATTAGTATCTTCATTTTGTGGCCGTCCTTTTACAGTTTACCCTGTCCAGAACAAATTAATGAACAATCCTTTAGCAATTATAATATTGTTATAATCATCACTGGATGGCCGAGTAGTCATTTAAAACTCTTGAATGTATTACTCAAGAGATTATGAATTTGATTTATCTCAACCTCTAATAAGGGTGATCATTGAAACTCTTACTCGACTGGTAGTTTCAGGGTATCAAAGGAGGTTACTAATAGGGATGATGACTGAAACTCTTACTCAACCGATAATTTCAGGTTCGATGTGCGATAACGATCGCCATGTCTAAAGCCATATTCTATTCTCTGTAATGCTTGTACTGTATAGTATTAATATTATTGTCTACCTGAAACTGCTAATCGTTGTTTAACAAAGTATGGATAATCCATTTCTTTTTATCAGATGCATGAGCTTTATTCCGTAACAAATGGAGCCACTTATTACGGTTATTAAGATCACAGAAGAGTTGATTACTGCTGGGTATTCCCTCAAATACTAATCATGTTTAAGCAAGTCCTGAAGCAAAAACTTTATTCCGATTTCAACAACTGCTTGATTGTCAATTTTAAAACAAGATATAAAAAGGCTAATATTCCCTTTTATGCGGTAATCTAAAGGTCAAAAAGCAATTCAAGCACCCATTATAATGCAACGTCAAAGAACCACTCAGCTTTACTTGCTCCACCACCATTCCTTTTGGCCTCTTCGCTGCATCTCCTTCCTCTAACACAGTCCTAAAATTTTCATGGCCTGCAAGTATATTATCTTATACTATACTTTTATGATCATATTATCCAGGATGACATATTATTCAATAAGAAATGTTAGGATACTACTTGCACAACTCTTTAAAAAAATTCTAAAAATAAGTGAAATGTCAAGTTGTAATAAATAAAACTGTTTTTTAATAAATATAACTTAAAAAAATATTTATAAATTGTGATTACATTAAAAAAACATATCCTTATGTTTGGAGTCAGTATCAACCAGAAACGTCTACAAATATTTCTCATATAAATTTCTAAGAGGTTACATCAAACAATGGCATGCTGTTAGCATTACTATGTCTATTAATTCTTCATAAAGACAATACACAATTATTTACTCTGATTCGTTCTAATTAAGCAATTATATCCAACATTTAAACTGAGAATTTTTATTGAGTTTCAGAACTTGACGCAATTACAATGACAACTCACTCTCTCACTCTCTATTTCACATTAGGTTTTTTATTATTACAAAATACTCATAATAGAAAACCGTAAGGTTGACAATCCGAATGAGTCATCGTAGGTAAGACAATCCATACGTCAAGGCTAAAAGAAGTATACATCATATCCAATAGGCTGAACACATATCTCAGATTCTGGAAGGATTGGCGTATATCATAGTGCCCATCATGGTCAATCAGATAGTGCTAAATTCATGTATCTGTTCTCAGACGTTTAACTTCAAATACAAAGATTCTTTACTTGTGTTCATAAATCTCCCATTTCAAGTGATCAGCTATCTGTTCCTATCATATCCATTTTCAATGATACATTCATGGTGAAATATTAGACCACACAACAAAATCAACAAGTTCACATCTCCGTCCGGACAAATTAAAAACTATAATTATAATAATATAGAAAATAAGCGAGTTCACATCAAGCATTGCGGATAAGCTGAAGCGGAGGTGGGTTAGGACCAACTATGAAAGTGGCATTAACATGTGAACAATTGTGCAGAAACACGCTCTTTCTGGTTTTGTGAATTCTGATAATATGCAGTAAAATTTCCAGAGAAAGTTTGAACAGGACATTTTACATTTTGGTTTGACAATTCACGGGAAACTGTACACAAACATTGCTATGCAGATATAGTTTTTATTGCAATAAGTTCCTGAAAGCAAAAAACCACATTATAGTTTATAGCTATATTAAAACTGAAAGCCTGGTTCATTCTTTAATACGCTCAATCTTTCCTGCAATAGATTGCTTTACTTCTCATATGTACATAAATCTGTCAACTTCATACACGTATTCAGTTGTCTTATCATGAAGAACTCGTTGTATGAAAAGAGTTAACTTGTCAAATACTATTAATTTTTGTCAAAAAAAATCATCACTTTTTATCGCGAGCGTTGATTAAGGTGGCTATAAACAGATAAGATAATTAGACTAATAAAAAATTTCTGAAAGCAAATTATATCCTGATGGGCTGCTACCAAAAGCAGCCATTACTATTGGTGGTCTTTAAAGCTGAAGTTTTTTCAGAGAAATTCTGTCAATTAGTCTACGAGAAGTCCACAAATGCGCCAAATTTTCATGGCTTTATGGCACAAAAGCTATAAGCTCACTGGTATTCTGAAACTGAAGTATGAATCAAATCTCACTTTTCCCAGCTAATTGGTGCACCCATTAAACTTTATTGATTTTTGTTTTTTGTCAAGCCCACATGCTAAAATCTTCAAGAAAGTTTTAGGCAAGTGACTTCCATGTCATGGATGGCTAAGAGTCTATACATTCTCATTAAAAAATTAGAAAATTGCAGAACCTTGAAGAACATATGAACCAGGTCTTTGCATATGTTTACTTCCAATTCTGTACAAACTAAATCAGAACGGTAGCAGTTTTCTAAGAATTTCAGGGTATTCTTATGCTGAAACTACTTGCTAAAATTAAATGACTTTGTTATGCCTGAAAAAGTTGGGCTGACGCAAAGCCCTGTCAGCGTAAGCGGTCAGAGCTTAGGTAAGTCCAGCAGCCATTCAGACGTTGCCACGTCGCACGCTGATGCAAGTGACATGCTCATGCCAGTGTAGTGGGTGTGTGCCAGGCTGGTGGAAGGCTGGAAGCAATCCACGTGTCCAATCCCTACAAATGTCGAGTAAATCACTCGAGCAGGTAAACAACGGGACGCAAGGAAGGATTTGCACTGCAATCTGACCCACTCCTTGATTTAGTAATCATTACCTTAATTCATCCTACTATAAATAGAGGGATCCTCTACCGCTTATGAGATTAGCTAATTTCTGTCTAGAATAGTATATATATACTCTCTTTCTCTCTCTTGTAAGTCAGCTCGCTGAACGCGACCTGATCTCATATATTAATACTATACTAGTGGACGTAGGATTCACTTACTTAAGCATCTGAACCACTTTAAAAACTATTCTTCGTCTTTTATTCAGTCCAATGCCCCCATACACATGTGTCTTTTGAGTCAGCTAAGCATTTCCTACGTGCGTTTAGTTAGTGTCAAAATCATGCATCAACAGACTTAATCCCTTCAAATGAAATTCGTATGGACCATATATACATGATTCCATTTTGTTAGAATCTAAATTGCATAAGCTGTTTTGTCTCTTTGCTTCAAAATTCACAGAAATGGAGAATATTTTGAAAATTCTTAAGACCAAATTGAGAGGATAATATATATTTAAGTATTAAAGAAAGCAAATTAAGAAAAAGGCAGTTTGAAAGCAACCATATCTTGATAAGGCAAATTGAAACTAAAGCCATTTGGTACAACTTTGCCTCTTCCAAGTTCCAATCAATATTTGCTTCCACCTTAGATATACGTCCTTTGACCTCCTTTATAAATCACCCTAATACACGTCCAACTTTCGTAGTATTGTCGTATTAAACTCCTAACCTTCCTTTGTAAAAACTATATGCCTAGTTGGGATAATAATAATAATATTTATTACCGTGTAGCATTGTCGTATTAAACTCCTCCTAATCTTCCTTTGTAAAAACTATATTAATTTTATGCCTAGTTGGCATAATAATAATCTTTATTACAAACTTTTTTTTTTTTTTTATCATTAAGGTGTTCGGATCAGCTTGTTTGCATTTCAATTAATCCCTAATCCCCCGAGACCCTGAAAGTGTGATCAGATAATTCTCTAGTGGCCACCTAATAGCACTTGAGGGGGACTCGAACTCAAGAGTTTGGAAACCTCTTTTTGTTTTTTTTACTATTAGGCCATCCAATGATGGTTTTACTACAAACTTAGTGTGAGAGTGAGAACCACTTTTCCTCATTACTCACATAATACAAGCCGTTCTATTTGAAAAAAATAAGTTAAACAAATAAAAAAATTACTTAAAGAAAACAAAAGATTCTATATATGAACCCTTTTAACTAATAAAGTCCTCTCCTTACTATCAAAATGACAAAATCACTGTAGTGGATGATGAAAAACTTTAATAAAGAACGATCCAATATGCAGAAAGAAAAACCGAAAAAGGGGATGAGCTGCTGCTGATGCCTATTAAAAAGATAAAGTTACAAATTCTATCCACATGTTACTTTACACGGCATATTAAGCATCGCCATGGATGGCGATAGAAGTGTTGGTTTTCGAAACAAATAGATAAAGCATTAGCATTACCGTTTCCTTTTTGATATGTACTCTTAATTCTTAAATAGGGTTCTGATAAGTTTCATCACATTATCAAGAGATATTATATTATAAAGGAAGTCCAATATTAATTGCACTGTGAGAAGAGAACTTTACTTGAATTCTAATATTTTGATGTTAAATGCTTAACAGATGTAGTATTACCATTACTGAAGAACTGAACAAGCCTTGAAACATAAGCAAATAACAAGTAATCAAAATAGTACAAGTATGTTGCACTTTCTGCAGGTATACATATATAGTTAATTAGTTGAGATAGACCTTCCACTATATCATGTGGTTCATTTTATTTTATTTTATTTTATTTTTTTATAACCGAGGATGTCTGGGCCAGTTTACGTGTACCTTAACTAATCCCTTGGTTTTGGAACCCTGGAATTACTGGGGGAATAAGAGCTCCAGTGACTATCCCTATTAGCAATTGAGGATGGACTTGAACTCAAGATCTCTTAAACAATATAACCAAAAGTCCATATCGAACCACTAGGTCAC